AGCCACCTAGTGTCTGAAAACGAAAAAGCTTCCAAGTTCTTTGTCGGGCTGGATTTCTTACCGCGCAGCAGATAAAAACCTCTTTATTGGCATTTACGGTGTACCTTTGCTGTGGCATGAGGCCCATAGCTTAACCTAAAAAGCTCAATGATGTAGCTAAAAATATCAGAGACCCTTCCAGGAGGGAACATTAAGCAGATGTGGCTACTTGTACATTAGTACTAGTAGAGCACATTCACAAGGACACACAGTTTCCCGAGAAACTCTGGGGCAGGATTTCTTCGCAGGCAGTGAAGTTATTCCTTCATTTATTTATTTATGAAGTTGTGTTTTTCAACATTTCACTGAAATGAATGGAGTTCTGGGACATGACTCAGAGACGAATGAGGCATAAAAAGAAACAGCCTGAAAATAAATACAGTTGTATTTCCCTCTTGCACTGCCACACTAAGGTGATTCAGTGCCCTGTGTGTTTTTTTTTAATCCTCTTGCACCAAAAGAGTTTTTTTGTAATGCTGGGGGAGGGCGCCTCATTTTGTACCAGATCCATCTAGCCAGTCAAGCCAGGATGATCAGACAGATCTTCCCATTTCTGTTCCGCTTATTTTTGCAGATTAAGATCTTGGCTCTGCAAGAGTTACCCAGAATATAAACAGCCTGTTTCACTTAAAAATAAAAACAAAGCAAAACAAGAAAACCCTGTGATGCTATTAAACAATATTTACACCTCTGTGACACGCATTTTATTCATCAGGATTAAAGAAGCCTTGCCTGGGACTGTGCTTTTATCATTCAAGATGTTCAGTGCCTTTAAACCCGTGCATTTGAACACCTTACGGATGGCCTGCAAACTGTTTGTGGCAGCACTTTCCTGAGCTCCTACAGTCCTTAGCCCAAGACCTGTCTGTGTTATGTGCAACTTCCACAAGAATACCACCTTTCAGACCACCACTCAACACTCAGGGCCCTCTAAGGATTCAAAGCTGGCATTTCTGATTGGATTTCACACTCTATGGAAAACTGTACTAAAATTAACTGATGCTCTGGCTTATTTCCAGTGGCCAAGCTTGTCTTTGTTCCTTCACCACTATTATTTCAGAACCTCTTTGTGTTGGTGGAGCCACATCAGCTTGTCAATGCAGAGATGGTTTGAGTTGGAAGGGACCTTAAAGATTATCTAGCTGATGGCCAAACCAAGCACTTAAAACCGGGCTTCATCACGCTGCTATCTGAAGCCACGGAAGTTCTGCCAGGATATTTTATGGGAATTGACACAGGCTGTGCTGGCAATGTCAACGTGAAAGTATGCAGCTTCGTACAAGCAGAGAAGAACATAATCTCTGTATATTTTGTCTTTGACTCATTTGAATCATATCCTAGCCAACCCTGTTGTTTCCTACATTACAAGTAGTCTCTCATGAAAACTAAAAAAAAAAGTCGTGCTTTTTTTCTTCCTTTTGGTGTCTCTGTATGAGCTCTGCACTGATAACTTACTACAAAACAAGCTGCTCAGGTAGGACCTCCTCAAAAATAAGCACTTTTAGCAAGTCTGCCAGGGCATCTCAGTAGGGAACCCAGAGGCAGCAGTCACAGCCGTTGCACCTGAGAGTGCACCCGTTGCTACCTGCCAGGCTCAACTCCCTCCCAGACCGCCTCCCATCATCCTCATAGGGCACTGCAGACAGCCCTGGTGCATCTATCTCCTCACAACACCCATAGCCACCCCACTCCTCACTGGAGCTGGGCTTTGGAGCCCTCTCCAAGCTACTGGCCCACCGTGCCTGTCCTCTGAGTTATCTCAGCTCTACCCCCGGTTTTGTCACTGTATCCTTCAATCCTCTCTCTCCCCATAAAAGTGTCTAGCTGTCTCTTAAACTCACTTTACCATTTGCTTCTTTGACCTCACTTGGCAACTTATCCTTGTGTTTATTATTTGAGGTGGAATAGTTCTGGCTACATTCCTGGTTTTACTCTTAATTGTCTAATTTTTAGAATGGTGTCAGTGGGGTTGGGTTTGGGGTTTGTTTTGTTGGGTTTTTTTTAACTCACCACTTTTGTGACCACATCTTCATTTTCAGTAGATTCCTTTGTGTCATCTGGACTTCCAGTAACTAAAAGGATCCTAATGAATCTTTTATTGGATCTTCCCAAATATTGCAGCTGGATCTTCTTGTCCATTAGTGCCATTCTGAACTGCATACATTGCCTTTAACGACATCTTTGTTAACTCACGGGGGGAGCAGTTTCCTAAAGCGTGGAAGAGTTCCCCAGCTCAAACACTGAGTGATTCTCCCTGCCCATCCTTGCCCCACAGGGAGGTACAAGCAGGGCTCGAGCAGGACTGGGCAGCACAGCTCTGACCATCTTCTGGCAACCCATCTCTGCCAGCTGGCTGCCTTTGTGTACCCACCTCACTAGGTGCAGGCAGCTCCAAGATGCAGAGCTGCAGGTATCTTCTTGGAGGCCCTCAGTCCACCCCAAAGCCTTGGGCTGGTTTTACTGTCAGGTCACACTGATGATTGGAAAACACTGCATGTGATACAGTTTTCTCAGTGCCTGCCTGCAGGAGAGGGAGGAAGAAACACTGGTTTTAAGCACCCACCTGTGTCTTCAGGACCCGTTCTCAGTAGCCGTAAGGTTGGTTGGTGGAGCAGTTTAATAGTCCTACTAACATCCTGAAACAGATAGGCCAAGTTGGATTGGTTTCTAAAATGAACAACTTGCCTGAATCACCACGGAAAGAGAAACAAAGAGCTTTTCTCTGCGAGTCCCTCACTTCCCTCGATGGAATGCCTGAACAATAGGACTGCCTTTATGTTGTTTGCTTTACTGTAGCAAAGTAATGTCTTGGGACCTACTTTTTGGTCAGTACTCATAAAGAATACAACGTGCACCAAGAATATGATCAGGTGGTTACAATCTAGGCATGTTAGGTCTTAAGTTTTCAGCAAGCAGAGAGTTGGACTTACTTGGATGCATCTACCTTAATCGGTGCAAGGGAATCCTTAATCTTGGCTGACAACATCAGAGAACTGACATTATGTTCCCTTTCCTATCCAACACGTGTTGTACCTCATAAAGTGACAAGAAAAAGCACAACACTGTGTCACTAACATTCTGTATTCTGGGGGGCGATGAAAGCTACAGAACAGAAAAAGTATGTCAGTCACAGTAGACATTTAACCATCAGCCAAAATAACACTGCTGACTAGTTCCAGTTCATGAACACAGATCAGAGGCTGTTGACTGTGAGATTGAAAATTTTCCAGAGAGCTAAAGATACTTGTAAGATAGAATAGCGTGCAGTCCCCTCATCTTTCACATGGTGATCAAGCCCACAGAAACTCAGGCTGCTGAGCAATTTCTGCTTGCCACAAAATGAGGAATTGCATGCTGCAAGAAACAGCATCTGGGGGCTGCTTCTGAGAAATTCATGCAGTAAAGCGCTTCAATAAAGGTGGCTTACCTTGCTGATAGAATCTTGGAAACAGGAAAAAGAGAGGGAGAGACATAAGAGGCCTCACGACAAAGACTCTGAGATGACTAGGAATAAAAATAACAAAGATCTTCCAAACGTCACCGCTGTCTTCACCGTGGTCGGAGTGTCGGAGGGCGTAATGAGCACCAGACAGCAGAGCTGCAGCAAGTGCTTTCATTGGAAAAGGGGCAACAGCAAAAGCGAAGGGACATACTCTGTCACTCATCACCCCACGCTTCATTTTTGGTTGCTGTCTACCATTATTATTATTTGGCGTGCAATTGACCAAGCAGAAAAGGTATGGATGCAGTTATTTACAGGTCACTGGAAGCCTGGTCTGTGCTGCAGCGGAGTTTCGGTTATATTTCACAAAAGATAGTTTTATTTATGTTTGACTAATGCAGGCACAACTGGAGGCTGATTTTTCTTTCTTTGGCTTTCAGTATAAACACTTCTGGCAGCTCTCTATTTTGGGTGCAGGCTGAAGAACATTGTTTTGTAGTTGCAGAACACTGCTGGGTAAATCAGAGGACATTGTTATTACGACTGAACTTTTCTCTCGAGAAAGAAGGAGGAGTTGCTTTATTTTTTAATTCTGTGCAGTTTTATATACACCATTTACTCCAACTATTTGATGTTTGCCACACTTGTTATGAGTTTCTCCAGAGAGATGCTGTCTTTTGGCAGCAAAAGATAAAGTTGACTGATACAAATGAGTCACAGTACCCCAACAGTAATTAACAGTGATGCAATACCCCAGCGAAAAAGAGGACTTGAAGAATTAACTGTTGAGTTTTCTTGACGATGCAGCTGCACTTTAAGAGAGAAAGCTCAACCCATCATAGAACTCCATTGTGTACATTAGAGAAAAAAGCTTGGCAAGATACATTAAAGATTTTTGCTGAAGAGATACAAATATTTTGCAAGGTCAAAGGGCTCTCAGGCAGGCTGTACTTACTTCCAAAGAAAAGCAGGCAGTATGACAAAGAAACAATAATTTTTTTTTATCTCCATTTTCACACTTCATCATGTAAGAAGGACTGTCTTTTTCAACCTGCTGAACTGATTTAAGCCACCCCAACTCTAAGTTAACTTTCAAGTAAAAGTCACTGCACGGCATCCTAATCTTAGAAGTTATCTGTGCTCGTGGTTTCAGCACAGTTCTACAGAAGGCCAATACTGCTATTTATAAAGTGGATTTTACTGCTCTGTGAAGTTCCTATACAAATCTTACAGGTTTCAAGAAAAGGAATAGTTTTGTAAGAAGACGAACGATTGAAGCAACTGTTTTATAGCGCAATATGAAACTTGACACTGTTTTCTGCTGCCAGTATGATTCCCAAGTGAGATGGATAAATTGTGGTCAAGACCTGGACAGGTTAACTAGTGGTCATCAGTGCTGGTGGTACCTTTATATACAAAAAAAAAAAAAAAAAAAAAAGGATTCTATTGGACAGGGCATTTGAAATTTAATACCAGACATGAAACAAGACATCTGTTGGACTCTCATTTGTTTCTCTTTGAATGGGCTTTAATTGAAAGCTCAGTGAAAAATGCAGGTTACATTCTTAGTGTTATCAATAGTTTGTAACAGCAACAACATCAGAACAGTGATGCATCTAATATTTATACAGTTTCTAATTTTAGATGTCTAAGAGCAATACATTATCAGATATATATATATACACACAATTTCAAGCAATTAAAAGTAAATAATAAACCCCTCCTCCCAAAACCCTGAAACAATATATTTCCTTACACTAATAATGTCTTTTTCACATATACTTGACAAAGAGTCTTTTTAAGTTACTTATCTTAAGAGTAATCTGTTAATGGAGATCCTGGACCAGCCCCATTAAAAGTTCAGTTTTAAGTTTATACAGCTTGCTAGCCACATAACCAGTGTGGCTTTACATTGTAAACAAGTCCCAAATGTCTACAATGATTGGAATCACTTTTGTGTAAAGGAGATCTGCGCATCTCACGATGGAATAAATTCAAACAAATACATTAAAACAGAAAGAGAGAGAGAGAAATAGAGCTATTTGATGAGTAAAACAGTTTGGGGGGGATCGATTATGTGATTATTTAAAAAACAAGTTAACTTAATGGTAAGATTCTTATTTTCTATACAGAAGTTCTCGTTCATCTAGCTCTAGCTGCTCCAGAAATAAGTTCTTTTAAAAAAGGGTTGATTTGTGAAATTCAGAAGCATTGCCTCCAAGTTTAAAAGTTTGCCCTGTGGCAGCACAACTACAAAGTTTACAAAAAGTATCTCAGCTGATTGTTCTGCCTCATCTTGTGAGGATAGAGGTTCTAGCATTTGGAAACTTCAGCATGTGCTCAAAAGCAGTAAGCGTGAAGCTTACCTTCAACAGGCACTACTCGCCCTACCCACAGCGGGACTAAAAAGAGTACAGTAAAATGCACCTAGAACAGCTCAAGGAAAAATAAGAACAGGAAACTGGAAACACCTACAGAATGTAAGCATAGTTTAGAGTAATCTTGAAACTGCGGTAATCTTGCTCGTTTTTTAATGAAATTGCAAATAAAGTTTGAAGTTATTGAACAGGGAATTCTGAATGTCGAAATGGAAGCTGAGCAGAATCCTACTGTTTAGTTAACTTGTGTCAAATGGGATGCGAAGACAGCCGCAGCTCTCTGACAGAGGTGATCGAAGATGGCTGATAAAGTTTGCAGTAGCTCATAATGTCCCATCTGGTTTATTCACTTGTTTGAAATGCCTAAAGGGCCAACTGCAGTTTAGTCATGTTCCTCTGGTGCATGTTGTGATGACGGACTAATTCATCAGACCTGGCAAATTTTTTTTGACAGCTGGGCCATCGGCAACTGAAAGGCTTTTCACCTGTTAACAAAACACCCTGTTATTAACTGGGTAGAAGAGCTCGCCTGGGACATCACTGCTCCTTCTCTTTCTGTAGCGTTGTGAGAAGCTAGGCAGATCTCCACCAGGAAAGGTGTGCTGGGCCATCCTCAGAGGTTGTGGCCGTGCCCTCAATAACTGCTCACCTCAGCACCCAGTGCTTTCTTACAGACCACTCTGCTGATGTTTAGCCACAGCCTTTGCAGGCGAGGCACTGCATTCTGCAACGGATCATTCCTGAAGACAGGCCCTTACTGAACATCCTAGTGTCACGTATACTTTACTCTCAGTTCTTGGATGAACTGGTTTAAAAGTAACTCTGGCACCTACAGAAGTTTCGGTCACACCTTTGACTATCAGTCACTAGGAGAATTGTCAGTGATTATTTAGAGCTTGACCTCTAGTCAAGGAGAATTTTTCCTGCGAGCTCAGTAAGTTTTGCCCAAAGTTATTCTGTGATGGTGAGGGTGGTGAGGGTGAGTGGTCAGTCAATATGAAGTTGCTGAACCAGACTGAAAGTTTCCCACTACTGTCTAGATTCCTTCCTGCAGGAGATTTTAAAGGACCAGAATACCTAGTATTTTTATAACATTCCCACGAGTATAAATAATAGCCACTAAAAATGACCCCAAGCAAAGTGGTTGCAATTTTGACAAGAAATGCCATCACCTTTTTACAGTTTAATCTGCTGTCTCGATTTTTCACAACATTATGTGGAATTTCAGGCCTTGTGTCTGATGCTGCAGGAATGCTGCTGGAATGCTTTCATTAGCTCAGAGCAGTGCCCGGTGACTCCTGTTTCTTTTAGGCTTGCCTTTTCTTCCCCCCAGCTCAAGATAGATGCAGCATTTTATAGTAGGTTCAGCTCTGGGACAGGACTCTTCCATGCCATCTTACACACCTCGTACTCTCCATCTCAGGACACCTGGGCTAGGTAGTTCAAGCTCATCCAACCATCTTCTTCTCTTCTTTGCCTCACACTTTGTACATTTCACATACATCCAAATTCAGGCAAAAATCTGGGAATCTGGGAGTGGCACCAAAGTTGTGTATTTCTGTTTGCAAAATCCCATGAGATAGACAGATCACATAAAGCAGGGGAATCTACGTAAAATCTATTTTATCCATGTCACATATATGCTGGCAAAAGCATCAACCATCTCACGAGTGCATAAAACAGTATAGGACAAAGCTGCCAGAGCTACTGATAAAAATCACAGATTGTATCAGGTGGTCTTCTTTCATCTCAGCTGCATTTGCAATATCATCCTGTGACCTGATGTGAGCTGTGGAGATTTTCACCAAAGCACCACCACTAAAGCAGCATGCAGTTTTGCTGTTTCATAAGCAGTATGACTGTCCACTCATGACAGGGACAACATCTATTAGTTCTGGGCTGGGCACAAACTACCTTACAGCTTCCCTGTACAGGTTCCAGAATCACTTTTTGATTGCTAAAAATGTATATGGATGTGTGGAGCTTTTGTTTTGGATTCTTCTGTTGCTTTTTTAGAGCTAAGATTGCTTTTACAGTAAACTTGCTTGCGGAGACAAGAGAGCAAATAGTTTAAGAACTGACTTACATTTAATCCCACAACAGATAAAAGTCACTTGCACTATGCTTCATCAAAATTTAACATGGAACAAGTTAACAAGTTAATTATTTTGTTGTAAGAGTTAGAGAACATGAAAAGAAAGGAATGAAGCTACAGGGCAAGATGGACATGAAGAATCGCCAGCCATCACTCATGCTTGTTCCTCTCAGGTTATGTGTGTTTTACAGTCAGAAGAGCACAACATCCAGCTGCCGATGGGAGCATCATCACAGCAGGAGCAACTGGGCTGCAGAGCTCACACAGAACCTCAGCGAGAGGGGCTATGAGGCCATCAGCACCCAAGGGCTGCTTTCAGCAACAAGGGAAGTGCGGGCTTGGATTTGCGTGGAGCAAGGAAGAAGTAAAATGGGGAGATCAGTTTCACTAGAGAAAGTGATTCTTCACTGATTTAGCTGGCTTAGGCTAAAAAAATTGCTGAAGTCAGGAAAGTATGGAGTCTTTCCCTGAATTAGCAGATCAGCTAGTGGTAAAATGGGAAGGGGAATGTAGTTTCTCCTAACTTGCTAACATGTAGCAACCACTTGCCATCTTGTCTCCATGAGAACGTTACCTCTTGATGATTAAGAAAGTATCTTTCTTCGTGCACATGCACCAAACCCAGGTCCTACAGTTCATCATGAGCTACAAAGCTTCTGCAAGTTGCAAATGTTGATACTGCCACTGCTTGATGCATTTATCTAGTTGGTGCCACAGAAAATGCCATTATTCTTAGATGAATTGCTTCCTTTATGAAAATTTCTCATTTATTTTTGAAAGTCTTTAATATGTGTTTTTATGATCATGAAGAGAAGAAAGAATCCTTAGCAGAGGAAAAAGGATTTTCAAGCTCCTTGTCATTCAGTAGAGAAACTGAATCTAAAAGGTTAAACTCAGTATGGCAAATACTGTGATGTCTAATGACATGACAAAATGCTTGGTAAACAACTACTTCATAAAAATACTGCCTATGTAATGGAAGGGAACAGAAAGTGTCAGTTCACAAGAATAATTCTAAAGCTTACAATACAGATGACATTGCAGTTGCTTCTTAATGGTGTTTATATTTACTTGAGGGCAGAGTAGACTAAAATGCCTGCTTTTTTTTTTTCCATGTACTGCTATGAAATATAGTTTCTGCACAAAGGTCCTTGAATATCTGAGTAAGCTTTTACTTCAGTGTCTGTCCATATGAATTTGCAAGAGGCACTCCTTTCATCTTCTGGAGAGATTACAAAGCAGCAGCAGCAAGATCTTTGCCGTGCTACACTGCATTAGGCTCAAGTGACACTTAGGAGAAGCACAGGTAGGCATGAATGCTTTAGATTACAGACCTTCAGCTGGAGCTGGAATTAAAATTTCTTTCTTGCAGTTTTTTTCAGGGAACACAATAGATGGAGTTGACATTTGTGGGCTGAGGCCATGATGTTCATTTCACTATAGCTAACAGAATATATTTTACCAAGCTGAAATTTCATGAAAAAAAAAGAAAGCATAGTTTCAAAAGTCACTTAAATCCCATTGCAAAAAGTGACCGTGATATTTAGGGAATATAGTCACACTGGCAAGCCAGTGCACTCTGAAATTATTTCTGATGTTTAGAACATTTAATACTTGTTAAGAAACTTTCTAATCATGTAATTTACAACAATATTATTTTAAACTTATAAAGAATAATGAAATATAAATGTGAAGAAAAGTTTACGCACTTGTTTTACCTGTATGAGTCCTGGTATGAGTCTTCAGGTGATCAGATCTGGAGAACTTTCTCTGACAGGTTTTACACTGGAAGGGTTTCACACCTGGAGAGAGGAAAAAAATCTATTTTTAGAACCCAACACCTTTTGGAAGGCTGAATGACATCAGCTATTTCTGAATTTTCAGAAGTCTGGATTTTTGTGGTCCTGCTCTGGAACTTCTCGTGTCCCACGCAGGGTGCACTCGTGTTCCAGCTCCCAGGCAGGGGGCCATGGTCATCACCATCTCCTTTTCTGTGATTTTAAGAAGAGCAGTTGTCTAGCCTGTTCATCTAGACCTCCAAGAACTCCAGAAGTGCTGAAATGGGCTGTCTTGATATTTCAAACAAATATCAAGCATAAAAAAATGTTGATGAATTTGGAATGAACTCACGAATAGTTTGGCTGTCTCAGAATATCAGTAAATGATAACCTAGTAAGTGATTCACCAAGAAGGACTGCCGAATGTAGGCAGGGCTCAGTCCTGATCATGACTGTTACTGCCTTCTCCACTGCACATTAACATCTGCTATACACTTTCCTGCTATTCTTAGTCAATTGCACTCCAGTATAATCCAACCAGCCAGATCTTCGACGTTTTTCTCCTTGCTACTCCTAGAACCCTTCTGGAAAGGCTGAAATCTAAGATTAAGTGTCTTGCTGAATTAGGTACTTTATTTGCTATGGTTTTTCCTTCTCCCTTCTGCTTTCCACATGGAAGTGCCCAGTAAGTTCACCAGCCTTTCATGCTGCACATAGTGTCATTGCCACACAAACATCAGAACATCTACAGCAGCACTTATCTGGTTACTCACTGGCAACTCTTCCTTGCAGAGCTCTCTGGCTTTAAAAAACAGTAGATGTATTACATCAGAATACTGTATAGCAAGCAGTTTCATTTAGAAATCTATTTCAAAAGATGGTGATAGGATAAAAAGGGCACACATACAATCAAAGTAGTGCTTAAATGCCAACAACAAAGAAACGCAACACAGTCACAACCCCCTCCTAAAGTGAACTTTAATAATTTGTCACTACTGGCATTGTGCATTAGCAGATACATCAGAAGTCTAGAAGTACACTTTCTGGATTCCAATTTAAATAGAGATATGGACTCTTTTAAGCAGTACAGGTGCACTGCCAGCATTACCTGTGTGTCGTCTTTGGTGCCGTTTGAGTTGGTCTGAACGAGAAAATCTTCGTTCACAGTCCTTAAAATCACACTGATATGGTTTTTCACCTGCAAAGTACAAACAGTTTAGCTGAAAATGTGGCCAAAGTGGGAAGCGTGTCAGGTAGAATCAGCAGATTAAATGCACTACCATAAGAAATGTAGGCTTCCCCACTTCCTAAAGCAATTTAAAGGAAGGACAGCCTCAATTGCTATAGATCCATACAACTATGCTGGACCCAGTGGATAAAGGCTGGCATAATTTACCACATTGTCACCGTTCTTGAATCTGTTCACTCTAAAAAACAGTCCACTAGATGAAAGCTATGAGAACTTTTAGGTTGTAAGATATTCTGTTTTCTGCTGAAAAAGAAAAGTTTTTTTTTTTCTATATTTCTTTGGAATCCACAAGAAACCCTTGCCAATGGTTCCAGCTAAAAGTAATTCGTACAAGGGAACAACTGGCTGCTTGCTCTAAATCAATTTTCAAGCAAAAACTAAGTAAATTATGTGGTAATTTTCATCACACTAAATGAATTAAAGAAAGTGAGCAAAACTCAACTACAAAACAATGCATTCTTCCTCAAAAATCAAATGATGTATCTTCCACAAGGCAATTCTAAATAGAATTTTGCTGCACACCTCCTGCAGGCAAGGCTGTGAACTCAGCTTTTAAAGGCAAAAGTTTTTTTTAAAGCAAAAAGACTCACCAAACACAAAAAGATGCAAGAAGAAATGAGCAATTGAGGAGCCTGAGGAAAGTGGGAAAGGTTGCTGGAACGTAGCATACCACAGAGTTGTGAGAATTCACTCAGCATAAAAAAAAACCCTAATCTGTGTGCTGTTACAGGAGGAGCTGCGTGACATTTCAGATCTCATTATCATCTAGTCTAAGGCCCCGTTGCACAACACTGCAATCCTGCAAGAGACTAAGATATAACTGCACTTCTACCTACATCAAATCTGTCTCCAGTGCCACAGCCCTGCAGAGAAGCCTCACTGAGCACAAAGGCCGAAGAAACACCTCTCACTGCAAAGCCGGCCAATCCCATGTTTTATCTGGAAGATGCACATCAGAACAGCTGGGATCTGCTCTGTCTACTGTAGAAAGTTGAGATACAAAACAAAGACACAGCACGAAGGATCTAGAGAACAAAAATCAGCTGAAGACACTGGAGCTGTGGTTTTGGTTACTATCTTAGTTTAAAGCAGAAGCCTTCTGATCTAGGTAAGAACATAAGCAGCAAATTAAGAAATTCCAAACTCATACCGATGTGGTTAGAATCAAGATTTCACAAAAGCAGCTAAATCTGCAAGAACAAGTTGACTTCCTGTGGCAATCACCCAAAGGAGTTTACAGATTCTCAAACCTAGGTGCGGACAACTTCCACGTCTGCTGCGCTTAATTTATTAGCATCAAGGATTAAAGTTGCCACAGGTGTTTGAAATAGTTCCGCACACTTTGACCACAAGGGCTCCCAGGGGGGTGCCTGCTTTTCAGAAACCACTTACTTCCAAGGAATTCTGCCCTTTGGCAGATTTAAGAGGGGAAATGTCAGCAGTGCAGAATGCAGTGATAGGATGATTGTCTGCTAATTGCAGTGTAAATGCAGAAGATAGTTAAGGAGGTCTTTGAATAAAATAGTACAGCAGGTCTGCTAGCATTTGCATTAAAGAATTTCTTCAAGTACTTTGAAATATAAATGATTAAATTAAGGACAAATTGAAGCAATGTACTTTTTAAAGGAATCAATCCAATATGCTTACACAGAGATATGACTGACGCTACAGAAAACAAACAGTAAATGAACAAGAGGCAACACAATATTTGGCCATAAAGCCTAACTTCTCTTTCCTTCTACATCTTCCATGCCAACCAGTGTCAAGAAAGAAGCCTGCTGAAGCCAGCTGCCACATAGCAGTTAATTTCAGTCAGTTTCACAAGAACAGGATCACCGAGTCGTCCCCTGTTAGAAACCTGCTGGTGCCCCATGAGGTCACTATGCAGAAAGGGGTTAGACCAGTGTCTTGTTTCCCTCCACCTATCACAGCCCCTCCAGTAAAAGGCTTGAGCCTCTCGATGTACAAAAAATATCCCGTAATACTGTCACCTTCCTATGTGACCATATACAATTTCAAAACAAAACAGGAGAAGATGGAGCTTCACCAGTCCTTTCACCTGTGACTCAAAGGATTCCACGATTACGTACATTTTATTACTGAAGGAGGGCAAAGCTTTGTGTCTAATGAGAGGAAGGATGGAACAGCAGCACTGGAATGCTATCCAGAAAAATATTTAGAGAAAAATAAGCTCAAAAATCACAGAACAAGTCTGAATCAGCCTTTGCATTCATTGCAATAAATACACTTAATAAAACAAACCTTTCTGCTCAAAGCAGGTTAACTCAACCTAGAGGAAGCATGCACATCCCTGCTGCAAATTAATTTGCACGGACACACAGGAAAACAGAAATTCCCACTGCTGCAGCAGTTGCACAAATATTCATAATCATTTCATTTCATTAAGGCACACAGCAAGAGCAGAAGCTTGCTGCTAACCAGAGAACATGGGGAGAGGAGGCCAATTTTGAAACAGAAGACAGCAAGTCTTAATGAGTATCTGAAAGCTTGTCTATACTCACTTCACCAACTTCAGCTGCTTTTCTTCTACACCCAACTAATCAAACAAGCACAATGCCCATCATCACAGCTTTAGCACACTAATGTGTTTCTGTTCAACACAGTTTGCTTTAGCAAACTCAGAAAACTTTTGTTTTTCTGTTCAGTACAGGTTATTTATAGGTAATGTTTTCTGTCATTTTCACACCAGAGCTCAGGTGTGAGACAATCTCATTACTTTTGCAAAAACAGATCTCAAATTTTAAACACATAAATAATCTTATTTCACTCCACAGAAACGGGATTATTTCATTATTCCAAAGCAACACTGACAAAAAGTGCTATCATATAAGTTACTGCACTACCACTTCAGGGGTCTGTGCAGTTCCCAACTCAAGCACAACAGCACCCACTTATCTTCTGCCTACACAGAAGATAGAGCTCTGTCTTTCAAAGGTACTGTAATGATGAACTGTGTTAATGACTGTAAGGCATTTAGCAGCATGGGCACACATGCCATAAAGAAAAGATATTATGTTAGTCAAAGCAAAGAAATTGTTCTGAGATGATTAGCAAGAAATTGGTTACTTATCTGCATTATTTGTGCTGCCCAGAGCCTCAGAAATTCACTTCCAATAGCGATCGCCTGCCACATAAAGTATTTACTTTCTTAATTACACACTGTCATACTTCATTGTACAAACTGATACCTGCACTTGAGCACATGTAGGCTGAAGAATATCCCCAGCAATAAGGCAGAGTACTTTCTGTACAAAAAATCCTGTTTAGTGGTAAAAACAGTTTACAGAAACCAATTCTGTGTGGCAGGGCCCTGTTTGATTTTGCAATACTGCAACCAGTGAATGGGAGATCTGATGAGCCAAGTTCTCTGCAAATATTTATGAGAGAAAACAAAAAGATAAGCAAAAGTGAACATTATTTCATAATGATATAATCTGTTTTTCTAATATCAGGTATGTGGAACAGCTTGTTTTCAAATTGTGTGTCCGTAATTAAAAAATTGACCTACCACTATACTAAGAAAGCTGGGAAGGGTTTCAAACCCGTGAGTGAACACAGGACCACCTTACAGAAGGATGAGTAAAATCCTGTGAGTAAATGAGTAAAATATGTTGGCTGTAAAGAGGGATCCCAAACAAACAATCCTCCACTTGAGCTACTATCTGACAGTTCTCTAACCTCAAAATGGCTTGTCAGGATTCCCCATTAGAACACCAGAGTGGAAGAAGATGTAGTATGTACTAGGCATTACTTTCACCAGCCTCTTTCCAGCTAAGTGAGTATGCTGATTCCAGCAAACCCAATTTCTATACTTTGCAGTGAACTCTAGAGCAGTGGGATGGAATGGAGTTCATTGTGTTACAGGCAGGAAAGTGACATGAGAGCCTAAGACACAGCTATGTAATCATCAACATATACCAGCAGCTTCATCTTAATTATAATTATCAACATATACCAGCAGCCTCATCTTAATCACACTGGTCACTTAAGATATCCCCTCACATAAACCAAAGATGTGGAGAACAGAAAGATGGTAAGTGTGCACTGTCGCAATCGTAACTGTTACCAACAAAACACACACATTCCTCATAGCAGTGACTGATCTGCTCTTGGAGACAACAGCTCTGTAGGAAGGGCACTTCTAGTATCACCAAGTCCAGCTGCCTGACCCTTTCAGTGCTAACCAAAGGTTACAGCATGTCATCCAAATGCCCCTTGAACACTGACAGGCACGGGGCATCAAGCACCTTGCTAGGAAGCCTGTTCCAGTGTCTGACCACCCTCACGATAAGGAAACATTTCCTAATGTCCCGTTTGAATCTCTCCTGGTGCAGCCTCGTGCCACTGCCGCATGTTCTTTCAACGATGAGGTTTTCCACAAGAAGCCATAGATCAGGGTCAGATAAAGAAAGACATGAAGTTACCTAGGAGGCTGGAAATGGCTCTGCACCACAAACCGTCAGTTCAGCTGCCCAGGATTACAGAAGAGCACGGCACTGGCAAGGACCACACGGACACCAAATCCACACCTTCCACTGTGCCACGCAGCCAAGAAGATGTGTTAACTCAGAAGTGTTGGGTCTATCCACTCCACATGCTCCCACAAGTACAGCTCACAAAGCACTCATAAAAGCTAGGAATAACAGGCTACAAGAAGATATAAGAAATGAAGGGCATCATGTCTTATGTACCTACAAGCAGCTTGGAATTGAGTAAGTGAAATTTCTAGATAATATTTATAGGAAATGGCTAGTACTCGTGCAACAAGCTGGAGGATGGAAACCTAACTGTCCCTGCCACTCTGACAAAGGGGCAAACTCCTTTCTGGTCCTAAACCTGAATGCCTCAGCCACACAATTTAACCAATTACATAAGCAACACTCACACCAGTAGTGCAATTTCCCCTTGCTTCCTCTCTTTAGCTTCAAGCAACCTTGGAAGTTCACACAGTCTTATCTATCATGACATTTTTATCAGCAAAGCCAAACTCTGGGTGTCAAACTCACCACTTATAGAAAGCAACTTGCAAAGGTTCAATGGAGAAAAAACAAGTTTTATTGTCAACATAACACAATATAATGGCAGAAGGATCTGGGTACATCTGTAAAGAGATGTCTGAGGGGAAAAAAAAATGTTTTTCTCTCTTCTGTTCCACCAAAGGAGAAGGAAGGGCTCTTTATGACCTCAAATAGAAGGGAAGAAGTCTCTCTAGGGATGCTAGACTGTTACAGTCCTATTCTATATCTTGTCTGGGGCTTTTGTGACTCTATACGGCTAGATTATATAATGCTTGATATCCTCTTTAGTTTAATAATAATAATAGTAATAATAATAATAATAATAATATTAAACCATGTAAGCAGAAGTTCCTGTGGGGGCATCCAGAAATAATACTGTGAAAGCCAAGCAACTAACTGGAATAAAATACAGAAACAACGATTGTGATTGCTAAGGTAAAGAGTAAATCAAGCTAGGAATGAAAGAAGCTGTGATTATGAGAAAGATTCAGAACTGTTTAGGAATACTAAAAAAAATACTGCCATTAATGCACCCCAAAAGATCTCCAAATTGTTTTCTGTTTCAAATTTATTTACAGAAAATATTCTGTAGACCTTTGGCTCTAAAGACTAAATTCCAGTTGCAATCTAAATTATATCTGTAATTTTAGCAAAACTGAAGATCTCTGTCAGTGTATTTTATGACTTGCATATTCAGAAATAAAAAATGCTTTGTAACGTTCATTTCTTTCCTGTCATTGTTGTATGCAAGTAACTAATGTCAGCATATGATATCCAAAAGGAAAAGTGTGCAACCATTTTTAATGAAATATCTGTCATCTGCTAAGTCTTAACAGTTGTCTGTTGTCTGTTTCATCCTTTTGATCTTCTGTCAGTGTTGACTGAACATCCATATTTACAGATTTTATTCACAGGTTTCTAATTAGCACAGAAAGCTGTCTAAATAGAAATGTGATGAGCAGCAAAAAATGTGCATAAGGAACATATCTAAAGCTATCATTATATATTTTCAACACAATAAATCTTCACATAGGAGAAATAGTCCCTTTTAATCATTTGCAGGGTACAGCAGGGCATTTTATTTCCACATTTTCAGATGCAAACTGGATGGCCTGAATTCAGAGAGAACTCAGATCTTACCATACAAATTACTGGCTTCTAGCTCAGTTCTTCATGGGATGATCCCACAGCAAATATGCTCCTTTGCCAATCCCTGCGTCCGACCCCAACCAGACAAGGTTTATACAGGGAGACGAGATTATAGTAAATGTCTCACTTGCTCTTGCAGAAGAAACTTCTTCATAGCTAATGACAGTTAAATATTGGAGCAAGCTTTGATGCTTCTAAATTTAAAAAATAAAAATAAAAATCACAGCCCCGAATGCTGCCCTGTAACAGTAAGAGAGGGAGGGAGGTGATTGACTTGCTCTCAGCACTGCTCTATGTTTGACTTCAATAGACTCACAGTCTTCTGCATCCGAAAGAGGGGCTGCCCAGATGACAGAGCACGCACACCCCTCAACCCATAGAGTCTCCCTGCCCCTGAGCTGGTAGAACATCTCTTGCACCGCATGCTGTTTCAAAATCCCCTGCCCACCGTAACACGATGCGCGCCATTCGATGCCATCACTTACCAGTGTGCTTCCTGCTGTGCATCTGTAAATGGGACAGCTTGAAGTATCGCTTGTTACAGCCGGGGTATGCGCACATGAAGGGACGTTTCTCATTTGTCTCGCTTGCTGATCGCACGATGGTCGGAGCCACGCCTGGCACTCGTCGCACGTCCTGCAATGCCACACACTTGCTAATGTGATGTGAATGTTCACAAGCTCGTGCTCAGCAATCGAAAGGCAAACAGTCAGAGGCACTTCTCCATGACAAGAAATGCTTAAATACACCACACCGCAAACAGTAACTTATATTTCAATGAAAGACAACGTCAGTGTATCTTAACCTGCTATTTCCAGAGCATTAACATTATATGAAGGTGAAACAGTGAACTCAAAATGATCTCATTTATATTTATACGCAGGATTAAATATTCTGACCTCAGATACAGAAGTAAGACTGACTGGCATAAGAAATAGTTTTAAGTACATACTGCCATGTAGATAAGAGCATTAGCTAAACTAACATTGTATAACATCAAATATCCATATGAAATTAAGGTGCAGGCAAATAAATGTATTGGGTTAATACAGATTGTTAAAAAATCAAAGAAGAAAAACTGGTGGAGCTGGTGAACAGATTGGCTTCAGTGAGTTTTGGCCATCATCCACCAAATGTTCCACCAAAGACCATCTTCTCCTCCTGACACAGCGAGCTTCCATAAGCATGTCAGCTGCTTACTTTCATTTACTGGGCAAAAAGCTGGCTCACAAACCTGTTTCTGAGAGTTTGCTACTGAATAGTGACTTGTGAAACCAATACAGACCAGAAAAAGGAGAAAAAAATGCCATCTGAAAACTTCCATCTACGCTGATTACACAGAAAGAGCAACACATAGGAGGCAAATGTTACATGACGACTTTTCCATCGGTTTTAAGAAGCTGTATCTTTTACAGTGGTGTTTATAGATGATATAACTGTGCCAGAAAAAGGGGAAATTCACTTCCATGAATGAAAAATTCCTTCCAAATATTTTCTCTAATCATTAGGAAACAATCCCTTCTTATATTATTTTTGCTCTAAGGAAATGTGTAAAGCTTTGGAATGCTTAAAAGCAAAATGTCATCTAGCACCTTCTTACACAGTTATCAGACTTAGTCCATTGTAGCACAAGCTCCACATGGCAAAGTGGCTGGAGCTAGAAGTTGCAAGCTGAATCTATTTTGGACCATCTGGAGCAGCTGGTAAGAAATACTGCCTCACAAGTATCTTTTAGAAATAATCCTAAATTACTGAGTCAGAAAGAAATCTTACATTTTACTTCAGTCTTTTCAGTGAAGTCACAACACTTAATGTCAACCATTTCTCAGTGCCACAGGGAAACTCAAATCAAAGCTGAATTCATAAATACTAGTAAGGTAGTAAACAAACATTACAGACAGGCAGCAGTGTTACTTCTCTGTGAATAATGCCCTACTATACTCACTTGTATGCCTCTAAAAACTCCATGGGTGTGTATTCTGTATTGGGCCCCACAGCTGTATAACATGGGAGCGCTGTGGTTCTCATTTTCATATCCTGTCGTATGGCTGCAAATAAAGAAAGGAATAATGGAGAAATGAAATATTTTTCAGTACTTTTTTCCATGTGAGAGGTTTAATTTCTTAACTTGGTGCTAACATATGTAGAGTTTGCTTTCAAAGGCAGGATATCCAAGCTCAAGAGGAATTCGCCGAGGGAAGCCTGCTCCACCTTCACGTGGACCTGCTCCCTTATAGCATGGTGCACAGACTCCATGCACACAACTATCAGCATTCTTTAAGACTGTCCAGAAAAAAAAAAGAAGAAAAAAAAGACGAATTAAAAAGAAAAAACACTTCATGATTTGAACTCTGATGTGCTTCCACAAAGATTCTAGGTAAGGGGGAAAAATCCACATAGCAGCATAACTGTGTCATGTGCACATGTACACATTATTTATCAGCTAAATGTGGGGCTGACTATTGCTAATATCTTTTGGAATGAGCAAAATGCTTCAAGTTTCACATTAAGTGCAGTGGATTTTTGTCAGCACTTCATGACTCAGATATTACCAGATACTACCAAGCAAGTGATGACATTTATAAGAACAGCAGTCATGTACTCATAAACAGAGATTACAAATCAGTGTCCAAACTATTTATCCCACGTATCAGCTTGCAGGATGCATTACAAATTAACCCTTTATTAAAAAAAAAAAAAAAGCCTACATTGTTGGGATTCCTTATGCAGCAACATGACAATTTAAAAAATAACTTATGCTGTGTTTTCAGGGTGAATCAGCCACATATTTATCCATTTATGTTTATTTTTCAAAATCTTACACTCTTCTGTCTAGAACATTAGGAATATTGCAGGTTGGTGGGTTTTTTTTCCTGCTCGTGGCTTTCTTAATGTTGAAATAATATAAATATACTTTAAAAGAGTATGTTAGATTAGTGTGGACATTGCTACATGTATTAATGGACACCAGCAACAGTAAATGTTCATATTTCACACTGCACTAGAAATTAGAAAGCCCAGAACAAAGCCCAAGGGCACAGAGCTAGGGACAAAGATGGATACATAGGATGTTATCCCAGTCTTTGCCAAATGCTTGCAATAGCAATTTTAAGGGGTCCCTGAGGCCCAGGCTCTTGTTTCACTGTGCCTTCCTTTCTCTTCACTCAAAGTTCATGTGCAGAGTAGAATTACAAGGAAGTTTTAAACCTCTTAAGTGATTTGCAGAACAGCCAGTGGAACTGGAATGCGGGAGATGTTTCAACAGTTTGTGAACTTTGCTAAAGAGGAAGGGAGCACTACTTGTGAACTGCTGTTACTCCAGCACTGGGTCACATTCCTCGGTATTCCTCCACTTAGCGGCCTGCAGGCTGCCACCTGGCACACGTGTTCCTCTAGTCCAAGTCCTCTGCTGCTTCAAATACTAGATTCAAATCCTGGCTTCACCTGGCTGCTCAAAACAAAGGCTGCACTTTCTAGGAAAGCACATTCTGTTTGTTTCAATTTTAGGTGCCAACCAGGTGATGTAATGAAACAAGCCTTTGGGTGCTGGCGATGAAGTATCTTTGATCTGCAATATTACCTTTAATAATAAGAGAAAGGAATATACTGTGAGCTGATTTAGATGCATTAAACACTTCTCTAGACACATACCATTTCTAACTAAACAGGTTCTCCTCTCTGCTCAGGGTCCAGATGTGGCCTTTTGTTCCATAATACAAATAACATTTGCACAACTCGCATTTCCCACCGGCACTGAATTCTCCTCTCCATTTACAGAATCACAGAATGGCCAGGGTTGAAAGGGACCTCAAGGATCACAAATCTCCAACCCCCTGCCACACACAGGGCCACCAACCTCCCCATTTCATAGCAGCCCAGGTTGCCCAGGACCCCATCCAACCTGGCCTTGAACACCTCCAGGGATGGACGGGGCATCACAGCCTCTCTGGGCAGCTGCTCCAGCACCTCACCACTCTCACAGTACAGAACTTCCCTCTGACATCCAACCTCAATCTCCTCTCCCTCAACTTCAAACCATTTCCCCTTGTCCTGCTTTATCCACCCTTTCAAAAAGCAGCAAAACCCATAGTTGATAAAAAAGAAGTTGAAAGGAACCAAGCCCATCATGATACTCATGTTAATTACAAATTAACACAGAAATTTGATGACATTGCATATCAGTAAGGAGGAATTCCTGCAGTTGAAACCATCTCTGATCTGTAATGTATCAACAAATAAAGGCTAAATATGAACTCCAGCTCTAGTTACCCCGAGTAGCTGTGTGTGTTATCACTCCATTCCTGTGCTACCAACTGAGACACCAACTCAGATAAGAAGAATTTGCAGGGCTGAAACTTTAAAGGAGAAACAGTAACATATAGTAAAATGGCACCAAACACAACCTAACTTCCCCTCCAAATTCACATTTTCCAACTTCCAGTGTTGAATGCTTCTGCAGTAACTCCTCCTAAGAATAAGAAACAGAACAGAGAGCCTGCCAGTGCCCTGAAGAGTCACTCATAGTTCTCCTCCTCAGCTGTCATTGCATGTTTGGGATGGCTTCCTCAACATACAGCCTTTTTTGTATTTCCCCCCATTATTTCTAATTATACTTCATTATAGCTATACACAAAACTGCTACGCTTAGAAGATAAAAACTTTTCAGAGCTTCTTGACACATGGAACACTAAGAGTTGAAGAGGCATCTATTTAAACAGCTCTCTTTGAGAAATGTTCTAGCAAGCAGGAATCATGGTTCCCATCTCATCAGTGCTGGTTGGTTGGTCATAAGATGATAACCGCAAAACAGTGAGATTTTGTGCTTAAGGTGATATTTATTCACTATGGAATCATCCGTTCTTTGTGGAGATAGAAATTAGCAGGTGACTGCTCCTCCTGACGAATGGAGAAACGTGAATGCTGAAGGGGGGGTTTCAAAACCAGCCCCCCCTACTGCTTTCTTGAACTTCACCTTCCATCAGTAGTAACCTTACTGTGAAATAAGATTTTTTGGCTCTGTGTACCCATGATGTATGCCACAAAACACATGCTATGCTTCACACAGCAGGCTTGCTTTATAATGCTTGTAGCTGATACGCTAAAATAAAAGCTCCAGCAGCAAACATAAATCTCCTGAATACATTGCTGGAACTCAAACATCTACTGCCTACAAAAGATAATGATTGCATGCGAGCGATGCAAGTAACTGATGGATATATGTCTCCAGTACATCGAGTAAATGAGAATCTTCAGAGGGTAGGAGATCCCTCAGCTTTTAACTTTTCGTGTCAGGCATTCTGTGTTTAAACAAACAGAAAATGCTTCATGCACATAGGTCATGAGATCTATACAAGTAATAACAAAAAATTGTCCCAGTGCACTCTCCAGACCAGGTAACATTCCGCACCTTCAGCAAAGCACTACGATGGCTGCACTGCACATCTCAGATCCTCTACCAGCATCTGCACTGTGAATTAAAAAGATGGCATGTTAGAGATGATGCCATGCTGTTCAGATGGGCTGAGAGAGTTCAGGGCAGGTAAACATTGACACCTCAAGAGAGAGAGGCTTCTCCAGCAGGCCCACACGTTCCCTCCCGCAGGTGGGCTGCTCGGGCAATGCCCCCCACACCCAGGGTTGTGCCCCCGAGCACAGCTGGTAGCATGGCCAAAGCTCCGGGGGCTGAGCAGCCCCAGGAGAAATTCAGCTGAGGCCGGGGGGTAACCAGGGCACGGGCAGTGGAAGGAAAAGGAAAAAAAGCCTAGTAAGGCTTAGCTGTATTTGGGAGAAACACTAGACCAGTCCCTCCACAAGTCCTAAAAGGACTCAAGAGCTAAGTAAGGCTGGATGCAGCCAAACTGGCCTGTCAGGATCTAGCAGGAATTTCTGTCTGAGTAAAGACTGAAGGACTTGGCTTCACAGTTTGTTTCTGCCTCTGCTTGTAAATACACAATTCCCTTTAACTTCAATGGGAACAGGACACGGGCAGAACTGGACTACGAATATTTGCAATTCATCACGTTAGCTGGTGAAACAGCAACTCAATATTTTGTCCTCTGGTCCTAGGCAGCCAGAAACAGACCTGGAAACATACGCACACAATGCAATTCCAGATAACTGGGCAACAAAGACTGATGCTTGCAAGGTGAAATGCTAAGCAAGCAACAGTGTTGCAGAGTCCTTAGAAGGGCCTGCATTTCCCCTTAGCCCAGCGCATCCCCAGCACCCAGAGAGTAGCTCTTTTAAATGATTAATCTCAAAGTTGTACACATCGTACAAAGATTAATAAAAATGAAGGTTTTACTGATGAGAATGTGTGATGAAAAACAGAGCAGCTTTAGAGAGTTATATCAATCTAAGTGGTTATAAAAAAAACTCATAAAAGATGACATTCTAATCTGAATATTTAAAAAAAAATAATCAAGCTGCAATTTCTCTCTCACACCATTTTTACTTTGTTAACCTGAAATTGTCTGTCTAATGTATAAACCAGTTACAGCTTAATCTGTAGAGTTAAGCTTCTTATTATTATTTCATGAACCAAAAAAGGGAAGCTTCAGGGCACACTGAGAAGAGTTAGAAAATTTCAGATGAAAACACGAATACAAATTGATTCATGAGATTCAGACTTGGAAGAATAAAAAAAGCCAGAAAGCAAGATTACATAAAACAGGCACCACATTAAGCCTCGATTTAATTGTGTTTCAATGCAAGAACAGGAATTTTAGGGTTTAGAAACAGAGCCAAAAATGAGGCGAAGTGAGGGTGTGGGCTAGTCCCGTTGATAACAGAACATAAAGGAAGAGAAGTAGAGTTAATTCCCTCTGCTAAAATATTTACCATCCTAACACCCTGGGAAAAATACGTAGGGAGACAGCAAAAAGATTCTGATTAGCTATACAGAAGATCATGTGTCTGCCTGTTTTGTGTCTAACACCATCACGGAGCGTGGACTGTAAAGCTGCATTTTTATCTTACTTTCCAAGGCAATGAACATCACAAAAATGTTATTTCACTATGCTGCAGCCATTCTGCCATCTTCAATGAGAAAACCAGCTGGAGAGGAAGGCACTGGACTTCAGGGCACCCTATTCTCATTGACTTCAACAGTTCAGGGTTGTTTTTTTTCCTACTTTGACTGCAGTAGAATCAGGATTTCACCCAACACTTCCCTTCAAAATGAGACCCTCAGCTATCAGGGGGAAGGGAAAACGGAGTACCACAGACAATGGGTCACTGTCCATCTCAAATCCATGTTGACTGCAGAACTGACCCTGAGCAGGAAGTTTTACACCTCCATATTTTACTAATAATGCTGTTATAGGAAACAGAAAAACCTTTACAATTCACTCCTAGACAAAATAAGTTTTCCCTGTCTTGTTTTAGATGCAGTTTTAAAGATCATCACTGATTTTCTTTCCAGTGGACATGAGCAAGCAGAATGTGTACAAATGTCCTTCAAACACACTGATCATTCAAAACACAAGCAGAAGCTAAAGGTTAAAAAAAAAGCCACTGCATTTCCCTGGCTTTATATATGACTTCAGGTTAATGTCAGAAATACGGCTTACAGCTCTCATTCAAGCAGCTGAAGATAAAACCATGCAATATTTCTACAAAGCCTTGTCATTGGTTATGTGCCTATTGTTGCCTATCATACCATATCATTTCCTGCTCAGTATAAATTATTTCTATGTCCCTTTTATACAGAACATGTCACAATATCAGAGGATTTTAAAGTTGTGAGGACTGCCTTTGCAATACTATTATGAAGGGCAATAGGATTTTCCACGTTGTACAAATAAAAAAGTAATACAAGGGCAGAAGCTGATGGAAAAAGTTTCTGCAGATTTATGACATCCACTCTGAGACATCTGGGATGTGAGGACCCACAGCTTTCTTGCAGCAGTATCAACCAGGTCCCAGCTTCCCAACCAAGTACCACAGAATACCATCAGCAAACAGTGATGCTCACTGCATTAACCTTGAAGCTTTCCCTTCAGATCTCTCAAGTTGCCCATTTACGTGGCAACTCCTGCAGAGAAGACGACAGCCCTCTCTTCTGCTCAGAGACCAAGAATGGCAGAGGAGTCTCTGGATGGGAAAAAATACATGTTAGCTCACAAGTTAGCCCATGTGGACTCTTCTTCCCTCACTTGAGGACTTCACATGATTTACAAGCACAACTTGAACTCAACCCTATGGCATTCCAAACCTAAAATTCGAGTCACTTGGACTATACAGCAGCAGCAGGGGGTTGCCATCTTCTCAAGGAACAGCTCCTTGAATAGATGCTTATTTAGGGCCACCAGGCCTCATTTTGGCTTACCAACAGGCAGAAATGTCTAGAATTTAACACTCAGGACCCAACTCCGTATTCTGGAGCGGCCTGACCGCAACATCTCTGCCCATTTCCCTGCGTGCATCTCTTCCTTTCACTTGCCACCCTTTCACATCGCTGTGCTGTCAGAAGACAACTCCTCTGTTCACCTCGTGTTTCTCTCTCCACCAGTTAGCAGTACCAGGATGGCACTCTGCTCCATCCCCTCCATCAGGCCATGCCTTCTGCCATTCCTTAACACACTGAAGGCACCAGAGACTAGAACACACAGAAATGAATAAGCTTCCTGTCCTCACAGCTCAACAGGAACGACTGTCATGATGAGTGGAACGGACACAGCTTTGACCACCTGACAGCATTCATGGCCAAATTGCAAACTTTTAATTTGAAGTGAGATTTCACAGCTGATTGATCAGAAACTAGCAAGAAATGCAAACAGCTGAAACCAGAATGCTTCCAGAAAAACTGCTTCACGAGTTAAGGACAGAAGCTGCTAACTATCTCTGCATAAACTACACGGCAACCACTTCACTCCAGGTATTAATAAACTCACCCTGAACCCTGAACACAACCTACTGAACTAGTCTACTGTCACGTATACCTGAGTTTCAGATGATCACAGAACTCTCTAACTACTTGCAGAACTGACTGGTAATGTTTTCTTCCTGATTACAACACACACAAGCCTTAGCTGAGCCAGGAAGAAGTGCTGGGAAGAACCCAAGGCAAGGAGCTAAACAAGGACTGTCATCATTGGACAGAATCTAGAAGTCCTGTATTTCAACAGAAAGACTGATTCCAAAATTCTTCAATTACAAGATTGAGAAAAGCATCTGAAATACTAAGCGCCTGGGAATCGCTTATGAACAGTTCATATATTTTGGAGATGTAAATCTTGGGAAGAATACCTTATGTTCATGGCAACTGAGCTTGGAGGTGCTGTGTATTGTAACTCTCGGCCAGAAAAGACAGATAACTATTTTGGCTCATATTACCAGAGATGAGGCTATGTCTAGCACTGATTTTCCACAGATTCTACAACCTTGGCCTACACCAAAACTTTCAGCTTTGTTTTACCATAGATCATTCATCATGATTTCTCCTTTTCTTTTCTCTTCTTTTCTCTTATTTCCTTTTCTTTCCTTTTTTCCTTCCCTTCCCTTCCCTTTTCCTTTCCTTTTTTCTTTTCCTTCCCTTTTCCTTTCCTTCCCTTTTCCTTTCCTTCCCTTCCCTTTTCCTTTCCTTCCCTTCCCTTCCTTTTCCTTCCCTTCCCTTCCCTTCCCTTCCCTTCCCTTCCCTTCCCTTCCTTTTCCTTTCCTTTCCTTTCCTTCCCTTCCCTTCCCTTTCCTTTCCCTCTTTCATGCATTCTAGGTTACATACTTTACACTGCTAACAATCTGACTCCCAGACAAGTAAAAAGCCATTTATTTTGCTCAGTACTCCTTCAATATTTCTATTGTGTCTTTTTTTTTTTTTTTTCTTTGCTGAGTTCCCCAAAGAATAACCTCTTCCTTGCTTTAATAACTTGGACCTCAGTCAAGGTTGATGCGTTACTCCATTTTGCAGGATATTTTCTTCAGAAGAGACAAAACAGTGCCTAATATTGCAATGACTGATCTTTGAAGTGCTCAGATTAAAGAGGAAATCACTAAGAGTCATGGAAAATAAATGTAGGAAATAAGCTTTAAGAAGAAAGAATCGGCAGCAAAGGCACCGAACTGTGCACAATCTGGGGATCTTCTTAAAGACAAGAGATGTCCTTGGCAGATCCCCTCAGCCTCAGCTCAGGTCACTCCAATACACACGGGTTACCATGCTATTATCTGTCCCCACAGCCTTCCAGCACCCTTTGTGAGTGAGCCAGCAGCAGCTCCAGGATGTTGTTTCCTTCATGCTGCAGCACTGCTCTGTATGGACTAAGCCGGTACCAACCAAGGCTTCAGCACTAGTGGACAACTACGTGAAAGCACAGATGTACGTGGTATTTTCTAGATTCCCCTCGCTGCTCAAGCGAGACTACCCGCACGCGCTTAGGCACCGGGAACGTCTCCAAGCACGTCGGCGATACCAACCTTCAGGAGGGAAGTTTCCGCTACTCGGGGCGCAGCAGGCAGCCTTTGGCTCTGCCTCGACTAGGATCCAAAGGCGGCTCTCTCGCTCACCGGCCAAGCGGCCCTCCCCTCCCCTCCCTCCGCCCGAAGCTGCCTGGGGATACGGCCGGCCCACGGGAGCGCCGCCGGGGCACGGGCACGGACCGCAGAGCTGTGCCGCCCCGCGGGGCCCCGCGGCGCCTTGGGGCCTTCCTGCTCGGCCGGCGGCAGGAAGCCCCGCGGGGGAGGCGGGCCGGAGCCTCTTCCCCGCAGGTGGGAGGGCGACAATGGCAGGGAGGAAGGAAGCCGGGAGGCGGCGGGCCGGGACACAGGACGCAGGGCCCGGCGAAGGGAGGGAAAGGGAAGAGGGGCGGTAGGAAGGGGCGGCCGGGGCGGCCCCTCGGGGGGGCGGCCCTCGGGAGGGCGGCGGGCGGCCCCGGGGAGCTCGGCTCGAGGGGTGCCGGCAGCCTGCGGCCGCTGCTCGTGCCGGGCACCGGAGTCCAGCCGTAGCATCAAACGGGACGTCGGCTGCCTAACGCGACCGGTCCGGGCGAAAGGTTAGACGAGAGCGCAGCGCCTTACCCCTTCAGCGTGGATCCCAAGTTCATCTGGTTCCACGTCATGCATTCCAGCTGTGATGTCATTTGGTATAAATTGTCACTGCGGTGGAAATAGCCAGAATTAGAACCAAACGCGCTGCCATCGGTTTAGCACCGACTCGTCTAAATAGCAACATTTCGTTATCGTCTTTAGATCTAAAAACAGTAACACTTACTTATGTAAGTGTCTTATCGATGTAAGCATTTGTTCCTCGGGAAGGGAAGGGAAGGGAAGGGAAGGGAAGGGAAGGGAAGGGAAGGGAGTCCCTTGTAACCTACAAGCCTGTAAGTCAGTGCCTGGCTGGAAGCTGAGACACCAAGCTTTTTCCCTTGCACAAAAGTCACATCCGATATCGGCACATTTAAATTAATGGAAAGAATAGAGACCCGCGGGCTAACAAAGCAGATTATTTGTTTTAAAAAGGCAAATCTGTTAACTGTTTTAACCGGGAGTGTAAAAGATCACGTGCTTAATGGAGTGAAACAGCTATCGTGACTCGTGATGGATGGCACAACATCTAGGGACTTGACAGGCAGAAGAAAAATGGAGTGGCTGAGCGATAAACTAAGCTCGCCACGGGAACGCGCTGGGACGTCTGATGTCTGCCCGCTCGCTGCGGCGCGCTGGGAACCGGCATCGACGGCGGCACCCGCGGCTCCTTCGGAGCGGGCACGGCTCGGCTCGCGGTGCGGGGCTGAGCGGGGCCGGCGGGAGGCGGAGCCGAGCCCGAGGATCCCGGGGCTGCGGGAGGGAGCGGCTGCTCCGCCGGGCGCCGCGATGAACGGCGGGTGGGGAACGGGCGTTCGCAATAAGGCGCGTCGGGGCTGATTAATCGCGCCGGGATTCGCCGCGCTCAGGCAGCGAGTTTCTCTCGTCCTGTTACTAAAGAGGGCTTTCTTTCTTCTTCTTCTTTTTTTTTTTTTTTTTTCTCCGCGTGGCAGGTAGAAGCGACCTAAAAAAGTCAGATTCCAGTGGGAAGCTTTTGCATATAAAAACAAATTAAGTGACTTCAATCTCGAAGTATGCGCGGTACCATTTGTCAGTATCACCGGACGCTATTATTCATTAGTGTGTCTGAACTGCTATTATGCTACTACAATGTCCCGCATATCAGCTCGGGGATTGTTAAACTCTCCTGCAGTTTCCCCATTTGCAATAGCAGCTCGTGCTGGTCTGTGCCAACTACGTTTTGCAATTCCACGAATTCTTCCTGTAATGCTGCCGTAATTAATTCCTCCAGGACCCTGATTTTTATTAGAAGTGCCCGCCCGATGCATTTACAGCAGGAGATTTCCCTTTAACTTTCTTTCCCTTGACAGTTCATTTATAAGAGCCTCCCCCACGATATCCACTTTTTCCCCTCCTTTGCTTTTTCATAAAGCAATACACTTATTCATCTTGTCACTCGCCAGCAGCCACCGTGCCGCACGCCGTCGTCGGGTGACAGCGTCCAAACCCAGAGCCCCGGACCGAGCCGTAGCCCGCCGTTCTGCCCCCAGCCGCCCATCGGCCCGGTTCCCGGTTCCCGGCCGCGCTCCGCTCCCCGCTTCGCAGCCCCGACGGCAGCCCGGCGGGACGGGCTTCGGGAGCAGAGGGGCGAGGAGCCGCCCGGTAGTTGGTGCCGGACCCGGACGGCCCCGAGGGGGCAGGCGGAGAGCTGGGGCCGGGGCCGCGCCGGCCTTCGGGCACGCCGTGGGCTGCGGGGGGACACCGGGAGCATCGCCGAAGGATGGAGCACGTCGCATCCCACGCGTGACGGAGTGCGGGACGTCCCTCGGCCCCGTTCGCGCGTCGGCGCGGCTCGTTATTGACGGGACCGGGAGATGAGCTCGTGGAGATAGCGGCCCTCGGCAACATCTCTGCTTCGAATGAAGCTTGGGTTGGGAGAAGGGAAGCGGGTCCCTGGGGACGTGCCTGCATTGACTCCGGTCGGAATCGTTGGCTCTCCAAACGGCCACAAAGGAGACGCTAAATATAACTTATTTTCATTAGGAGACGCTTTTAAAGAGAAAGGAGAGGAAGGGGGGAACGTTTCTACAACGGGATTAATGTAAGTTGGAGTGGAATAAAAGGAAGTCCATGCGGAGCAAAAAGGGAACTTAAAAGGAAACCAGTAGTAGATCATATAGAGTTTGTTTTGGCCTGCACCACGGTATTACCGAGTTCTTGACCTCTGCACAGAGAGAGCTATAATCTGAACCGAGACTCCTCCACTTTTAAAGTCTTTGTAAGTGTGACTCACTGTAAATTTTCAACATCGGGCATGTTTACTACATCGAGCAGCGCGAGGTAGAAAAGTTCACATCCCCACGTCACCGCCCCGTGCCCGGCTGCGTCCCGGGCAAAAGCCGCCCCGCGGTTACCCGCCCGCTCGGACGGAGCCCAACGGGACCCGGCGGGACAGCGTAGGGCCGAGCAGAGCCGAAGGCTCGGCCGGGGCGGGGGTCGGCGTGCCCTCCGCGGCAGGCTCGGCAGCCCCGCCGCAGCTCGCCTCGTGCCGCGCATCACGGGCGGTGCGGGGCGAACGGCGCGGGGAAAGAGGCGATGTCCCCCTACGCCGGGCTCCCGCACTCGGCCACGCCGCCCCGTTCAGCGGATAAAGGCGGCCGGCAGCGCCCGCTCTACGGGCACGGGCCGCAAGGAGCGCCGGCACAGCGGGGCTGAGCCTGAAGCCGCGCAGACGGGCACGAGGTGAAAACAGGCTTACAGACAGTAACACAGGTTCCGTCAAATCAGTGTCGGGCAAAAAGAGGGTGGTTGGTTTTCAGGCAGCTGGAAACGCGGCCAGCGAAGCCAGGCTCATCTCTGCACGGTAGTTGGCCACCCGCTTGCCGCGGCGGCACCTCCTAGCAAAACTCCTGAGTGGAAGGGAAGTCGTTTTTCTCCGGACGCCTCTGAGCCCGTGGGAGTAAGGACAAGGGCTGCTCGGCCTGAGCCACCTGTTCTGGCCGCGATGTGAAGCAGGACGCGTGCTGTGGGGCTGCCCCCCGGCACGGAGCGGGCTGTGCCCCGACCCACGGGCTGCCCCACGCATCCCTGCTGGCTGCCGCTCGGCACAAGTGGCCATTCCTGCCGATCTCACACGTCCCGCGATCGGGCTCACCCCACTACACGGACGAAAGACCACTTCGGTGGAACAAGAGAAAAAGAACCCTTCGGATCGTGCTTGGCAGACCCTTCGGAAGAACCAGAGCTGCTCGCTAAGGAAACGGCAGGAGTCGGGCAGGTTTCTCCCCGGCTCTCCCGAGGGTCCCCACTCAAGGGAAGAGCTGCAGCCTTCACTGAGCTCGGAACCTGTGGCCAAAGAGCAGAGCAGAGCGGCGGAGCAGCCGTCCCGCCGAGGGCAGAGAAACCCCGCAGAGGGGCTCGCAAAGCCTATTTATAGACGGCCCCGCCAGGGCAGCCGCTTTGGTCGCCTCGGCCAGGAGCTCTCCCCGCCGGTTATTCTACAAGCTAATCTCTCTGGATAGGCTTCTTTCCTTCCTTCATTACCTCATTCCCTCCTTCCCTTGACGTCAACTCACGTTCGTTAGCGAAGCGGCTTCTGGAAGTGACAGAATTGTGTTGTCCCGCTTCCAGTGCTGATTAATCAGAGGCGATAGAGCCGGCCTATGAGAGGAGCCGCTGCGGCTTCCTCCGCTCAGGGATATTGTTTTGTGTGCTGCAGTTACTTAGCAACTCCGAGATACGGGATCGGCTCCAAGTTCACAAAAAGTTGAAGAATAAATTTTGGGGAACTTCTCACTAAACACGTTGTAAAACTGCGAGAGGCACGCCCAGCCCCCACGCCACACCAGAAAGAAGGGAAGCCGCGATTGCAGCAGGCCTTCTGTTCGCGGGAGCAAAACTCCACATATGCTTTTCTCCCAGCAAGGAAATCCGAGGCTTTGCCCTCATATTGCCCCATTCTCGAAAAATCGCCTCTCTGTGGTCCAGTCCCCTCATCTCCAGGGAGTGGAGCCGAAACCTTTCAGGGAACTGTCGTACAACCGCCCGATCCCGCACATGCTCTGCACGCACCCGCACTGCCGTGCCCGGAACCGGCCGTGCCGAGCGCAGGCTGCGCTGTGGGACCGGAGCGGGGCCGCCGAGCGGGGGGCTGCAGGCACCGGGCTCGGCCTCGGGCAGAGAGGGATGTTCTGGGGCGCGCTTGGACCGGGCTCGGCCGGCGGGGAGCCCCCATGGCCCGGGAACGGCACCTGCCAGGCGCCCGGCTCAGCCGGGGAAAGCCCGAGACGCCGCGGATCTGGGGTGCGGGGCCAGTGCCAGTTTTTGTTCTTTCTTAAACTCGTGCATCCTATTTTCCTTTTTGTTGATGCCGTTGTTTTGGTTTTGTTTGTTTGTTTGTTTCAAGAGGAAGGCAGACACGACCTTCTTTTCCCGCTGCTACAGAAAGCCGTCGGCACAACACTCCAGCGCTGGAGCTGCCCGAGCAGCAGCCGGCGCGAACCGAGGGGAGGGGGAACGGGGCGAGGCGGAGGTACCTGTTGTAGGGGGTCCGCAGGAGCAGGGCCTGGCTGCCCGTGCAGCTGTCCGTGGGGGTGTGACAGCCGTACACCGGAGGGGGCACCGAGTACTGCTGGTCCCCTGCGGAGAAAGCGGGACAGGTTAGCCCGTGCCGCGGCCGCCGCCCAGCCCCGCGTCGCTCCGGTCGGTGCCCATTACCTAGAGATGGCTGCTGGCTCATGGGGTCCTCATGTTTGAAAGAGTGGTTCGTAAACTGCGCGGCGTGGTGAGACGGCGTGTGGCCGTAACTCGGAGTCCCATCGAAGGCCACGGTGCCGTAACCTGCGGGAGAGAGCACCGCGGGTTCAGGGGCCGCACGGCCCGCACCCGCTCCCCGCACTGCGGCTCCATGCGGCCGTCGGGTGAGAGACGTCCCCGGGGCAGCCCCAGCGCCCGGGTACCGCGGGGAGAGGCGCGGCCGGGGGGCCTCCCGGCCTCCGCTCCCCCGGCGCAGCCGTGTGACCCGCGGGGTGCGGGGCCGTCGGGTGCGGGGCCGTCGGGGTGAGGGGGGCGGCCCTGCGGGAGGGCCGAGGCAAGCAGCCCGCTCCGGAGGGCGGAAAGTCGGAAGTCTCGTTCACGTTTCAAGAGAACAGATCGGCTTCGGTAATAAAAAGGATGTTTTCATTAATTGTTGCTCATACTAAAGAGGAAGATTCCCATCTGCTCTGTATACTCCTCTGCCGTTTCCAATTTAGAAGTTACCCTTTAATCTCTTTTTTTTTTTTTTTTTTTTTTTTAAGAGCAGCTTTCTGAGGAGTCTGCAATGAAAAATGTTACACGCAAAACTAAAACTCCTCCTTTCAGCGAAAATTGCTCTCCAAAATAACAAACAGCCGATTTGGTTTCCTACGCCGAGCAGATTCAGATGGAACGCGAGCACCTCTGCTGACCCCGGGCCGCCGCGAGCCCGTAAATCAGGTGCTCGGACACCGACTTTCATTAATGACTTGGAGCTGGCTAAACAACTTCGGCTAAGAAAGTAATTACAAAGTAATATTATCTCGGCGGCTTCTCGGCTCGTCAGCAGTTACCCCCAGAACCAAGCTGCTCCGAAGTCACTCTTCCAACAAAACAAAACAGAAAGCCCGGCGCGGGCTGGGAAAATGAACGAGGCCGGCCCGAGCGGCCGCTCTCGCGCCCCGCCGCGTCTCATCCTGCTCCCTCCGCTCGAGCACCCCGCGGGGTCCTCTGCCTTGGGGCGCGGGTGCCCGGCTGATAATCACAGGCGCTTTTCCGAGCTGTTCCCATAGGGGTAACGCAGGGACCCGCGTGCCGCTTCCGCAGTTGATTGTCTCTGCAGACAATAAATTGGACCCGGCCGTAACACGGGATTTGATCAACCTGCAGAACCGCGCAGGAGAAATTAAGGGAGTGATGGAGAGGGGGAAAAATCCTAAGGCTTTATAGCCCTCACCTTCGCGACGGGTTTGAGCCGACACCGGCCCGGCGGGGCTCACTCGCCCCGACCCGTCGCCTCCCCACGCCCGGAGCCGCTCACGGCGGTGCGAGCGGCGCTGACAGCGCGGTACCGTGCGGGCTGCCGGCCCGCAGCTGCTTCTCGCTCCTTATCTCCTCCCTTGGCCCTCGGGGCAGAGGCTCAGCCTTCAACTCCCTTTCCCCTCTGCCTTTTTTTTCTTTCTTTTTTTTTTTTTTCTTTCAGAAAACACTGACACTTTCTACATTACTTTTGGCCCGGCGCAGACTTTTGGTGACCTTCACAATGCAGCTCGGAGCAGAACGATGTTTTGGCCGCATTTTCCGGTGCTGCCTGACCCAAAGCTTCAGGAATGTGATAAGAAAGCCGAGTTCTGAACCGAGCTGCCGATAGCGAGGTCTCTTTAATTAGGGCGTTATCAGAGCCGGGCCCGATTAAAAGGTGCTGAAAATAATTGCAAGCCATACAGCTGCTGCAGCACGGGGCCCGACCGAGGACTCTGGCTGTGGAGGAGCCCAGCACGGGTGAAAGAGACGGGCGGCCCAGAAAGGGAAAGCTGGGCAGAGCTTCCAAAGCCTCGCTCCCTACCCCCACGCCCCGGCCCGGACTCGGCTGAAGTGTCATCGCAGAGCCAAGGTAACGTCTTTCCCACGGTCGGAAGAACAGGCTATAAGCCCGGGAGTTCAACCTTGAGGAGAACGAAAACAAGAACGTTTTATCCGACGCCGAAAATAAATCAATCAGCGAATAGAAAAACGAGCACCCTTCGCCGAATTCCTCCTCGCCGAGGGAAGGAGCGCTACCCGGCCGGGCCGGAGCGGGAGGGAGGGGCCGCGCTGCCCGAGCTCTGCCCCCCGCAGCAGGGCACGGCCACGCACACACCTGCTCACCGAGTGCGGGAGCTGCCGCCCGCTGCCTTGGGGGGAACAACGGTGTGCCCGAGAGCTGCGGAGCCCTGCCAGGCCTAAGGCCGCAGACAGGATGGGTGCCGCGCTTCTGAGCGTTAAAGGCTCCCCTCGCTTTTAGGGGCTCAGCAATCAGAGGACACCCGCTCACCCACCCGCATAGGCCGAGGCTCATCCCCTCTCCCTTCTCGTATGACTTCTGCTCGGCCATTAAAACCATCTCAGCTATCTAGAATACTTTGAGGTGTCCGAACAACGCCAGAGGCTCCGTGCAGCGACGGCCGCCTCTGGGGATGCTGTGTAGCTTCCGAGCCTTGCCGGGTCCCGCGCACCGCTCCCAGTTTTTCGACACAGCAGACCGGCAACGTCCGGGCCTCCTCTCCCTTCCCCCGGCCCGCCTCCTTTCGCTGCCCGCCCGGGAGCAAAGGCACCCCAAAATGGCAGAACGCCGGCGGACCCTCCACCCGCAGCACCACGCCCGCGGCCCCAGGCTATCTGTCGGGCCGCGGCAGGGCAGAACGCCCGCCGGCAGCGCGGAGCCGGCCCCGAGCCTCTCTGGTGAAGCCGGCTGCGAGAGCGCGGCTCCGGCCCCGCTCCTCCGGCCGCCCCGCCGCACCCGGGCAGCTTCCCCCGGGCCGCTTCCCCCGGGCCGGGCAGCGCGGGGACGGAGCGCGGCGGGAGGCGCAGCCCGGGGATCCCTAGCGAGAGCTCCGCGCTCTCCCTCCTTGCTCGCTTTAGCGCCGGCAGATGTTTACATTGCGGCCGCTGGAAGAAAAACCATTAGGCGATAACCCCGTTCCGTAGGCGGGGGCTGACCGATCGTTAGCCGCGCACCCACGCGAATTTCTCGGGGCAGAGCGAACCGTGGGGCCGCTGTGCTCGCAGCCCGCCGCGGAGCCGCCGGGAGGGAACCAGAAGCCGCCCGGTGCGATCCCGGCCCGGGGAGCCGGCGCTCCCGAGGTGGATCCGACGAGCGCCTGGAGAGCAGCAACGCGTCCGGGTCGAGGGGCTGCCCACAGAGGTAAACTACCCTACCCCCACCCCTCCAGTGCGTGGCTCGCGGAGGAACGAGCTCGGAGCGGCGGCCCCATCTCCGTGTCGGGACCGTCCGCAGTCCGAATACGGCCCCGAGAAGAGAGGAGGCTGCTCTGGCCAGGGTCTCACTGTGCCCGCGGGGAGACGACCGGAGGGACGCGGCGGCGGCAGGAGCCGGCCCGACGAACCCCACATGATGGCTGTGGGCTCCGTGCATGGGGCAAACGCAGCCCGGCGAGGCTCCGGTGGTGCCCGCGGGGCCGAGCCCGAGGCCGGGTGGTTGGCACGCCGCCCTTACCCTGGTTGCGGATGGCTTGCTGGCTCTCCAGGCAGTTGGGCAGGTAGGGCCCGTTGGGGAACATCCTGGCCTGGCCGGAGGGAGGCTGGCTGGGCGGCGGGGCGCCGAAGGGCCCGTAGCGGCAGGCCCCAGCCGTGCCCGTGAACTGCCCAGAGAAGTGGACGGTGAAAGCGCTCAGATACTGCTCCTCATGCGGGTCCGACCCGTTCCAGCTGGGTTCCTGCTTGATGAAGGAGTGTGGCCCCAGCGAGCCGTAGGAGGCCCCCGGGGGGAAGTCCAGGACGGGAGCCCACTGCGCAGCGCTGCTCACCGGCATGGCGCAGTTGCTGTTGCCTGGTAGGGAGGGCACGGAGGGCAGCAGCGCGTTCAGGTCTCGGACGTCTGACCCCATCTGTTCGCAGACCTTCTGCCTGCTGCTCGGCAGCCAGTCTCCTCCCGGGCCGCACTTATTCCAGGACACCTGGCCTCTGCCCGCCAGGCCGGAGGCCGGCTCCGGCTGCAGGCACCAGGCCGGAGAGCTCAGCCCCTTGGGGGAGGTTTGCTCCGCGACGCAGCTCCCCGGGTCCAGCCCGGCGGGAGCAGGCAGCAGCGACAGGGAAAGGTTGTTCTCCAGGATCGCCTCCGGGGCCGCGCCCGCTCGCAGCGCAGGGCGGGGTGCGCGCGTGTCCGTGAGGCCGCGGCCGTGTCCGTGTGTCTGTCCGTCTGTCCGTGTGTGCCGGGGGGTTGGGGGGGCACGGCCGCCTCGCACGCCTCACCTCGGCTGCCTGCTCACCCTCAACTTTGCAAAGCTCAAATAGAGGCGCTCGCAGGGGAGGAGGAGTCAGCCGCGACGATCCTCCATTCACACAACCTTCGTCGAGGGGCTGCCCACAGCCCGCTCTGCTGAACCGACCCGGGCCAGCCGGGGGAGGGGGACGAGGGGGGGGGCGCGGGGACGGAGTGGGAGAGGTTAGTGTGGGAGAATATATCTTCCCTACGCATCCCTCCCACCCTTCCTCCGGTGCAAGCGCCACTAAATCTCACCCTAACATCCCTTCGCTTTGGGAGACGTGGCGAGAACGCCAGAGGGATGCGGGCGGCCCCGTAAGTACGTGCTGCGCCGCTTCCCGCAGCCCCGCGCACTTCCCGCGGGAGCCCCGAGGGCGGCGGGGTCGCAGTCCCGGGCACCGAGCGGAGAAGCCGCCGCCCCTGCAGGACCGAGGGAAGTGACCCGGCCCGGGGCGAGCCGACCCGGCGAGGGAAAGTGTCTTTCCAGGTGCTCTCCCCGCGCGGGAGATGTCCGCGTCCGCCCGAGCAGCCCGCGCCTAGAAGGGAGGAGGCGCCTGGGCTGCTGCGGGAGGACCGGGCACAACGAGCGCCCGCTTCGGGGATTCACCCGGCACGGCTCCGGGGAAGACCCGCACTCTCCCTTCCCTACCCAACCCGGACGGCGGCTCCGAAGCACGAACCCGGCGGCACCTCACGCATTATCTCGGGCGGCCCTCCCGGGCAACTCGGCGGGCAGGGGGCCGTTCCCGGCAGCCAGGGGGCCGCCACCTTTTCCCCGCCCCTACCGGCAGGGCGGACGGCGAGGCCCCCGGGACGCGGCCGTGCCTGCCGCGGCCAGGCGCACCCCGGCGTCCCGCAGATAGAGCCTGCCGCCTCCCCCGATAGAGGCTCACCGAGCGCGGGATCCCGCCCCCTCCTCCCGAAGCACTCGACCGGGCCGTTGGAAGGCTTAGCCCCTAGGGCACGCGTGTCACAGCTCCGCGGGGCCGCGAGTGGCTGCGCTCCAGTTGCACTCCGCACCCGGCCGACCGCGCTCTTAGCCCCGCGCCGCGGTCCCGGTGAGAAGTCGTTCCCCCAAGCTGCGGTGCTAAAAGCGCCGCGAGGAGCGGTTACCTGCCGCTGCGGCGGTGGGCCCCGATGTCCTGCGGTGGCAACTCGCGCTGCGGCGTTCCCATTCCCCGCGGCGTTAAAGGTTACCGCGAAGCACCGCCGACCTCCAAACGATGTTTGGAAAGCGTAAATGCTGCAACAAAATAAATCGAAACGGCCCGTTACTGGCGAAACCGAGTGTAATTTCACGTTGTCCTTACACAGATTAATAACATCCGTAGGGTTCTGCTACTAGTGAAATTTTCACAGGCTGTCTTCAGACAAATCGCTTTTAAATCGCCCTCTTTGATGTGTACATAAACGCGTTTGTTACAGAAATCTGCGCGTACGATAAGAGCGAAAGGTTTCTCTGCCAATACTAAAGGCTGCGTAAGTCTGAAGGAGCTGCTGCTCTCTGTGAGGACACACAAAACGAATTCGGCCTCGGGAGATGAGCGAGCACAGCCCGCTCCCGCGGAGCGAGGAGACCGCTCCTGTCTGCTCCCTCTGTTCCCCTTTGCTCCCCCCCATCCTCCCCGCCGTGTGCCCGCAGCCCGCCGCTCCCGCACCCGAGGGATCCCAGGCCGTGGAAGGGTGCAAGAAGGTCGGGGCTGCTGCTGGACCCGGTCTTTTCTGTGATGGATCAACATGTGGAGTTGGTCCCGTTAACCGCCGGCTCCAAAATCTACAACGTACGTACTTAAATATAAATGCTTGTGTAACTTAAACAGAGCATTTTATTTCCCATGAAAACTAGTCCTCTCTTGGTACAAACAGAAAGCCTTCCTGTAATGGAACGTTTCTCTAGTTTGCACGTTTTTTCCCTTTTTTTTTTTCTTTTTTTTTTTTCCTTCTTCTTTTAACAGCCTAACTTGAGAAATATTCTGGAAAGGGAGCAACGTTTTCTCGATCTCTTAGGTTCTGCGTTATTCCGCCTGGGAAGAATACCGAAACCCTTTCAAATCTTCGCCTCCCGCATTTCCAGCAGACACGGCCGGGCGCCGAAGCAAGGGAGCCCTCGGCCATCAGCGCATCTCCCTCCCGGTGGCCCCCGGCTCGGCCCGCAGGGACGCTGCGGAAGGCACCGCGCCCGGCACCTGCACCTCGCGGCACGAGGCAGCCCGCCGGGACACCGGGCGGTGCCGGCACGGAACGGGCGGATGCTCCTCGGAGTCGAGCCGGGACGCGGCTTCAGCCGACCGGGGCGGCCCGAGAAGAGGGGCGGGCTGGAAACTTCAGGGAAACAGCCGGAGTCAAATCAGCTCCCGCAGCCGTTTCCTTACAGTCCGCACAAGCGAGAGGTAAAGGCTCCCGCCCCCGCTGCGGGGTCGAAAGCGGCCCGGGGCCGCACGTCCCCTTCGAAGCGTTGCGGGCGCACCGCTCGCGCCCTGCCCGGGGTCCCGCACCCCGCACCCGGGCCCCGCCGGCGAGATCACGCCGCGCCCCGCAGCCCAGAGGTCGCATCCCGGCCTCGGCGCGGCTCAGAACGCACAGCCGGCGGCGCCGGGCGCGGCGGCCGTTCTGCCGGGGTACCGACCCAAACGGCCGGGACCTTCCCATTCTCTGCCCTCAAACTCGGTCCGATCCAAATCTCGGGCGGGCAGAAAGATGGCCGAAAGGCTTTGATCGATAATTCCCGGCAAACGATCCACGTCCGATCCTGCTCACGGGCTAACGCCACGAAACCAACCGGCGGGTATTTCTGGGACGGGGTCGTTGTACCGGGAAGAAGGGGCTCACGGAGATGCTCCCGAGCCCTGAAGCGCCTCCCAGGCGGCGTTCCGCTCTGCGCCGCCGTGCCGACCAGTTAACGGCCCGGCCATTCTACCACGCTTTACTAAGCTTCATAAACGATCCCCGCGCGGCTCGAAGCGGGGGGAGACCGGCTTAAACAGAGATAAATCCCCGGCGCTGTCGGAGCCGCTCGCGGCACGCAGAGGGATCTGTCTCCTTTCACTCGGGGAGCCGATCAGACTTTGATTACTTAAGCGCCAAGAGCAGCAGAAGCAGAGCTGCGAGCCGCCCTCCAGGAGCGCGGAGAGGCGGAGAGGGGCGTCAGGATCTCACGGCGCGGCCCGACCCGGCGCTCCTCGCGGGAGCGGATTCGGGCCGGGGAAGCCCCGCGCCGCTCGCAGCGCCCCCCGGGGGCGGCGGCTGCGCTCGGCCCGAGGCCTCGGTGCCGGTCTCGGCCGGACGCCGGAACTCGGGCCGCTCTTCCACCGTAAATCTTGGCGACGCTGGAACTAATTACGGAGGGACGCGTCTCAATTTGTTCCGCATTAGCGCCGAGCCGGACCGCGGGCACCGAGCGCGGGAAATTGATGAGCCGAGCCGCGGGCGGCCCGCCGGCACTGACCCCGCGCTCAACCCGGAGAGCGGCGCGGGGCGGGCCGGGATCCCGCTCCGCCTCCCGCACCTGCGGGACCCCGCGGCCGCACGGCGCTGCCATCGGCGCCCGGATCGCCGCGCCGCAGCGCCGAGGGCACGGGGCGTGCTGCTGGGAGCCGGCTGGGAGCCCGTCGGTGCGGCTCCGAGATGCCGGGGAATGGAAAGCCGGCAATCGGCAATGCCGTTCGGATCCGGTATGTGTGGCGTATTGAAAGTCTCAGTGCTGCAAGGAAATACTCGTGGAGCAGCTAAAATGATGAAAGGTTTTCGGTACTTAGAAAAGAAAATGAAGGGGAAAAAAAAAAAAAAGCCCTTAGATATATAGATAGACAGAAATATCCAGGTCTTTGCATGATCCCCAGTGGTTCGAAGTCACTAAAATTACTATCTTTGGAGGGGGAAAAAAATCAACCAAAACTACAGTAGAACGCAGCACATCACACAAATGGGTACATGGAAACTGAGAGCTAAGGAATTCCTATTTCCCCCTTGTAAAATGCAGATTTCACCCCATAGGCTTACTTCACTCTCAATGTAATACTACAGAAGGAAATCAGGAACGGTCCTGTTACGTACACAGATCCTCAGAGTTCTTTGAGCTCCCTGGAACGTTGCCTTTGAGCACAGATACACATCTGAGATGTACAAGAAACATTTACAGATTCAGAAGTGATAGGAAACATCCAAGCTTTGTAAAGCTGCTGTGCTCGCTGCCACACTGCCGTCCTTGTGGTCACCGGTGGGTAAGCAGCGACTGCAGCTGACACAAGCAGCAGCCTCAGGCCCGGTGCCTGCAGGGCGCTGCAGAAAGGGCAGGAACATGAATCGCTCCGTCCTGGATTCTCCTGCAGATCTGACACAACCGTGTTCTTAATACCAGCTGTGCCTGCTTTCATGTTACAACAGTGTCCCCGTGGAAAAAGCACACTGCAACGGCACAAGCGAAGTCTGTATCTCACTTTGTTCTTTCAAAGCCCCTTTTAGCAGCGACCCTGCACAAAGATACTCCTTCCACCAGCCCTTCTCAGGGGGAACAAACGGTGCTCTGGGGAGGTTGCTCTGACTTGAGCTGAGATCTCAGCACTATTCCCAGGATTCTGTTCTATTCCCACAGACTTCAGAGGAATGTGTGCACAAAAGCACCTG